GGATTTTTGGGATATTTCCTGACCCTGCGATTGGTTTTTTGGGGTGGTTTTGGGGTATTTGCTGACCCTGGGATGGCTTTGAGGCAGTTTTGGGGGTTTTGGGGTATTTGCTGACCCAGGGGTTATTTTGGGGCGGTTTTCGGGTTTTTCGGGTATTCACTGACCCAAGAGTTTTTTGGGAGCAGTTTTGGGGTTTATTGGGATATTCACTGGCCCTGGGGTTGGTTTTTTTGGCTGGTTTTGGGGTTTTAGGGTATTTGATGACCCTGCAGTTTTTTTTGGGGTGGTTTTGGATTTTTGGGATATTTCCTGACCCTGGGATTGGTTTTTTTGCGGTGGTTTTGGGGTATTTGCTGACCCTGGGATGGTTTTGAGGCAGTTTTGGGGGTTTTAGGGTATTTGCTGACCCAGGGGTTATTTTGGGGTGGTTTTGGGGTTTTTGGGGTATTCACTAACCCAAGAGTTTTTGGGGGCAGTTTTAGGAATTTGGGGGTATTTCCTGAACCTGGGTTTGGGTTTTTTTGTGTGGCTTGGTGTTTTAGGTTATTTGCTGACCCAGAAGTTTTTTTGGGGTGGTTTAGGATTTTTGGTGTATTTCCCGCAGGTTTTTTTGGGGTGGGGGTGGTTTTGGGGCATTTGCTGACCCTGGGGTGGTTTTGAGGCAGTTTTGGGGTTTTGGGGTATTTGATGACCCAGGGTTTTTTTGAGGGGGTTGTGGGGTTTTTGGGGTATTTGCTGACCATGGGGCTGTTTTGGGGTGACTTTAGGGTTTACTGGGATGTTTGCTGACCCAAGGGTTATTTTTTGGGGTTATTTTGGGATTTTTTGGGTATTTGCTGATCATGAGGCTTTTTGGGGGTGGTTTTGGGGAATTTGCTGACCCAGGCGTTTTTTGGGGGCACTTTTGGGAGGTTTGGGGGTATTTGCTGACCATGAGTTCTTTTTGGGGTATTTTGGGGGGTTTTGGGATAGTTCCTTATCCAGGGGTTGTTTTTGAGGTGGTTTTTGGGTTTATGGGGTGTTTGCAGACACTGGGGTTCTTTTTTTTGGGATGGTTTTGGGGTATTTGTTGACCATGAGATCTTCTTGGGGTGTTTTTGGGGTTTGGGGAATTTGCTGACCGTGGCATTGGTTTATTTGGGTGGTTTTGGGGTATTTGCTGACCCTGGGATGGTTTTGAGGCAGTTTTGGGGGTTTGGGGATATTTGCTAACCCAGGGGTTTTTTTGGGGTGGTTTTAGGGTATTTGCTGACCCAGGGGTTATTTTGGGGTGGTTTTGGGGTTTTTGGGGTATTCACTAACCCAAGAGTTTTTGGGGGCAGTTTTAGGAATTTGGGGGTATTTCCTGACCCTGGGATTGAGATTTTTGTGTGGCTTGGGGTTTTAGGGTATTTGCTGACCCAGAAGTTTTTTGGGGTGGTTTTGGATTTTTGGTGTATTTCCTGACCCTGGGGTTGTTTTTGGGGTGGTTTTGGGGCATTTGCTGACCCTGGGGTGGTTTTGAGGCAGTTTTGGGGTTTTGGGGTATTTG